AAATTAGAGAGGCCCACGCCCCGGCCAATCGGCCACGCCCCTGCCAATCGGCCACGCACCCCACTCTCATGCCGACAGCCATTAAATATTAATATATGGCTTTTAAATTTGAGTTTTAATAGTAGTATATTTGGTCCAATTGAACATGTCCACTAATTTTTTCTTTCCAAATACAACTGTAGCCTTAATAAATTTTGCAGATTTTAATCAGTGCACAAATAAATGAAATAACGCTATTTTCAACTCTTCCCCCTCCATCACCTGTTATCACATTATTAAACGCCACATCAATTCTATAATTTCTGTCTGTGAACAAGAAAAAAAGAAATCCACAAAAATCAAATCAAATTACCTTTCATCGAAAAATCCATGGCAAGAAGGGCGGTGCTGATCGGATGCAATTACCCGGGGACAAAGGCGGAGCTGAGAGGTTGCATCAACGATGTCCAGCGAATGTACAGCTGCCTCATCGAGCGCTACGGTTTCTCGCCGGACGACATCACGGTACTCATCGACACAGACGAGTCCTGCACCCAGCCCACGGGCCGCAACATCCGTGCTGCACTTGCCGATCTGGTTGATTCGGCCCGGCGCGGCGACTTCCTGTTCGTCCACTACAGCGGCCACGGCACCCGCCTCCCAGCGGAGACCGGCGAGGACGACGACACCGGCTACGACGAGTGCATTGTCCCCACGGATATGAATCTCATCACCGGTCAGCCATCTTTTCCCCCTCTCTGAATCTTATTATATTTATTCAATCTGTATTTCCTTTTATTTCTGTCGTTATATGGTTCTCAGATCCGATCTTTGGAAATTAGGAAATAGATGTGAAGGAATTCGATATAATTTCAGCTGATTCGTTTTTCTCTCTTTTTTGTTGGGTGTCCTCATGATCAGATGATGATTTTAGGGAGCTTGTGGACAAAGTGCCACAGGGTTGCCAGATCACCATCGTGTCCGACTCCTGCCACAGCGGAGGCCTTATAGACGAGGCCAAGGAGCAAATTGGCGAGAGCACCAAAAAAAATGACGACGAACGAGAAGATGAAGAAGAAGAAGAAGACAGCGGAGGATTCCGGTCAGGACTCAAGAAATTCCTCCACCGAAAAGTCGAGGACGCAATCGAGTCGCGCGGCATTCACCTACACCGCCACAAAGAAGAAGAAAATTCGGAAGAGGAATACCAAGGCCAAAACGGGGTCCTCATCAAGAACAAATCCCTACCCCTCTCAACCCTAATCGACTTACTCAAGCAGAAGACAGGCAAAGACGACATTGATGTCGGCAAGCTCCGCCCAACACTCTTCGATGTCTTTGGGGAGGATTCGAGCCCAAAGGTCAAGAAATTCATGAACGTCATTTTCAGCAAATTAGGACAGGGCCAGGGAGAAGGTGGGGAAAGTGGTGGGTTCATGGGCATGGTGGGGAGCTTGGCCCAGCAGTTTTTGAAGCAGAAGCTTGAAGAAAACAATGAAGATTATGCGAAGCCCGCCTTAGAGACTCACGTGGGGAGGAAAGAGGAGGCTTACGCAGGAGCTACTAAGAGGGCCCTTCCAGACAGTGGCATTCTCATTAGTGGCTGCCAAACGGATCAGACATCTGCAGATGCCACACCATCTGGGGATCCGAGTAAGGCATATGGGGCTCTGAGCAACGCTATACAGACCATAATTGCTGAGTCGGGTGGGAGGATTAGTAACCAGGAGCTGGTGCTTAAGGCCAGGCAGCTTTTGAAGAAACAGGGGTATACTCAGCGCCCAGGGCTGTACTGCAGTGATTATCATGTCGATGCGTCTTTTGTTTGCTAAACAAGTATTACAATTGTGTGTGTATGCCAAGTTTGAAGGTCGGATCTATTGTTGCTGCTGGATTGCTATAATAAGGGGGTTGCTATAATAAAGGGATTGCTTTGTGTTAATTTGTTGTGTGGTAGTGTTGTTTTGTGCATCTTGAGCAATTGGGTGTACAAGAAATGTTTAACAGGTTGAAATGTGTGCTTTTGTGTCTTGAACTTGGAAGAACAAGAGAATAAATGCAATTGAATTATATTTCCAAGATTGAGTTGGAACTACAATAGCAATGTTACAATAACGTTTGTGTTATGTTGTACACAGCAAAAGGAAAAGAGAAGATAAAAAGAAATGCAATTGAATTATATTTCCAAGATTGAGTTGGAAATACATTAGCAATGTTACAATAATGCTTATGTTATGTTGTACACAGCAGAAGGAAAAGAGAAGATAAAAAGAAAGAGCAATATGCAGGTGCCCAAAAATAGAGCCTAAAATAAATAGATTATGAACACTGATGCTATTTGGTTTTATGAATCATTGCACCTAAAACGTTCAAAATTGTATGATGCCATTAACTTTCACTATGATTCTATAGTTGCTAAACCAAATTGAGTCAAGAGTGCATAGTCAATTGTGGAAGCTGTTTGTAGTAGCATAAATAACAGTAAGTTGTAGAAAGCAATCTGGTTTATTTCACTCATCATCGTCTTCAACCCATCAGGTCTGTCCAAATGAAATAAAAAAATTATTAGTGTGATTTTACGACAATGAACCCACAATATGTGAAGATCTGGCATGTGACAGGTTAAGGTTATACTACAGTCTCCTCGGAGCAATTGCTGAACTGCTTATGCTACATACTTACATGGTGATGCAAATACTGGTCATGATGGATATTGTAGTAAAGGAAAGTATTAACCACAAACAATTGCATAAAAACTTGTTATTACGTCTAACATCTAGACATAAATGGCACTGCAAGATACATCACAAACAGTTCCTGTTCAACATTTCCCAATATACCAACAATCTTGGAGGTCTTGGATATTATAATTTGCAATTAAAAAACCTAGAAACGGAAGAAAAGTCTCTGACGCTCAAGTTAGCCCGTGTATAATCAGGCATACAATTCTATACGTGTATGTATGATGTGCAGAATATAGAAACTGGATACCTTTTTATACTTGGGTTTGTTTGATGGATAACCTGGATAAATTGTTCTTAAATATGTTCCAACACATAACCAGTTATTTGATATGTCGGATGATCAAAGGTTTATTTTTCTATAGAGTCCCATAGGGATATGCATTCTATGATTGCTTGCATGCCATTATATTATATTGTAATTATATATTAATTTATATATTATATTTTCATTACATGTATGCATATAGGTATAATGCATTAGTCATACTTTGCATACTACATTGATCACCACATTATCTTGATTTTCAATTACGCATGAATCGATAAGATCTTATATTCTGAAATCTTTTACATGTTCTTACATGTTGTGGCACAATGATCATTATTCCACTGATGATGCTTATTACACTTTGCCAGAAATTTGTCGTCAGCCGTGCTAGGGATAAGAATGCTGCTAAGTCGTGGTGATGCCCAGAAAGAATTCAAGGTCAGAAATCCCAGTAGTTGCGCAGGTATTTTATTTTCTATCAGAAAAAGCTACCTTCACGAAATGATTTATTAAGAAAGCTAACACATAATTTGTTTCCTTTTGGATTGACAGTAAAAAGAGTTTCATAAACAGAAAATGAGATGAAGGGTGAAATGTACTGATGGGCGTTGCACTTAGTTGTGATGCATTTTACTTGAAGCTATAAGGTAGTCATCTTCTATAAGGTAGTCATCTTCATAATAAACACAGTGCAATATATTAGAAAAACGCGCAAGCTAATTTTGTTGATGCTCAAAATCCTTGTCATTGAGTAGTCGTCTCCAAGTGACTTGGAAAGATAGGCAAAAATTAAAAGTTTATTTTATGTGCATGCTTGGAGAGAGATATATCATTTGCACTGCTCCACTCTCCGCATCGTATTAGTGCCCACGACTTCTTGTAATGCTCGCGTGACTGTATTTTGGTTGATCATATCAAAAAATCCGACAAGTGTATTTTTTATTGGAAATCCTAATATTGTGTTCTTGCATGTGAATTTTATTTAGTTTTATTCTTCATACTAGGCTTGTAATAGTTGCCTTATTGAAGTTTATGTTATGTCATTAAATAATTGTGAAGGAATTTATTTTTAGATGATAAAATCTTAGGGTTTGATTGTTTACCAAATAATTCACTCAAAATGAGTTATTTTGGTTAACTAGAGTTAATTTTGAAAAATATGGTATGGTTAGTTGTTAGTGGAATTTTAAGAATGTATTCAAATAATATTTAAAATAGAGTAATTAATATTGATTTGATGTAAAAGTAAGAGATAAATGATTGGAAATGATTGATAGTTAAAATTATGTGACTGGATGAATTAAAGTTGATGTGATGTGTAAGAATGATTGGTTTGTATTATTTAATTATATAAATAATATTAAAGATAGTAGGATCGAGTTAAAGTTGAGTTAAATTTTAAGTATGAAATGAATGTGAGTAAATTAATTTGTAAACAATCAAGCCCTTAATCTTCCTAATTTGAATTTGCTAGACACGTTTGTTAGTGTGTTAGTGGGTTTTGATGGGAATGTTCTTGCTCTATGTTATCCAACTTTTTCATTGATTTGTTAATTGTTTGTTGGACCTCACCCATTACGTCCTGACATGGTTCATTCTATATCTATCCCTCGCGATATCTCTTCACCTACAGAGCCTGAGAACCTTATTTATTATTTTTCTATCTCTATAAATTCTTCTTTTAACTATTAGTATTCTTGGATCATTTTCTAATGTGCTTCTGAAACAATTTTGTTGTTGATAAAAGCCTAGAGAAGATATGGACAACATGTCAACGATTAGTGATCACTCCAAGCAATGACTTTTCTCTTCGGTTATCTTTATTTTTCTCATTTGACTGTAATTCCGGGGGAGATTTACTTTTAGCATTTCAGTCTATAAAAAGGGAGAAATAAGATGTTTATGAAGATGTTGGGGATATTGTTATAGTTGTTTGCTTCTGATTGTTTTCGAAGGTTGTTTTGTCATGTTTCTGCAGGATGTAAGAACTTCTATTTCCTGTTGTTTGATTGTTTTGACTAATCTGATAGGGGGAGATGAGTTGGTTACTCTGTTGGATTTAGTTCTGATAAGATAATAAGGTT